ACAAAAATCCAAGGGGGAAAAAAGGGGGGGGGGGGCTTTGGGGGAGTACGGGAGTGGTAGAGGTTTAAAGGCGTGTTTATTACACGTTAAAGCTGACCTCAAGGCAGATATAGGAGACACAACTTAATACTGTTCTATATTCGTTATATATTATTAAAATGTATTTTTGTTTTAATGCCAGCAGCATTGGTACCTGAATTGGACCTGGTATCAGCCTCTTGCAGTCCCGGTCCCCAGAAGCTGTACAAGGAGCCAATCAGTTGGGTGCATTGCTTAAATTATACCATGGGACATACTGATGGAAGCAGAGAGCACAGTGACAGAGAGATAATCTTATTAGTCTAAAGTCGGTCACAAATAGTTTGAATTTCGACCGGTTCCTGATGAACCAGCTGAAATGTGTACCGTGGGTGCCACTGTCGGCACCTTTCTGCCCGGCACCTTTCTGCCCGTCAGCTGATCAAAGGAACGGGTTGTAAAAATAGGATTTTGTACTCACCGTAAAATCCTTTTCTCTCCGTTCATTGAAGGACACAGGCAACAGATCGTAGATCCTGAATGGTAGGGTAATATCGCCACCTGCAGGAGAAGGACGCTAGGCACAAAACTAAAGACCAATTACAGCCTAGGGGCGGCCCCTGCCGGTGGCCAAACCCCCCACCTGCTGACAAGTCTCCAGTTTAGTAACAAGCAGTTAGGAGTGTACACCCCATAAAGAGGGCGGGGCCTGTGTCCTTCAATAAACGGAGAGAAAAGGATTTTACGGTGAGTACAAAAATCCTATTTTCTCTCCCGTTCATTGAAGGACACAGGCAACAGATCGTAGATCCTGAATGGTAGGGACGTCACCAAGCAGTAACACACTGAGGGATGGGCAACAACAAAACACCCAAAAGACCCCTCAAAGCGCCGCCTGCAACACTTTGCGCCCCAAACCAGCATCCGCCGATGCTAACACGTCCACCTTGTAGAACTTAACAAAGGTGTGAACAGAAGACCAAGAGTGGCCTTACAAACCTGAGAAACAGAGGCCCCGTGGCGGAAAGCCCCGGAAGCCCCAACAGCCCTAGTAGAATGGGCAGTGACAGGAAATGGAGGCTCACGCCCCTTAACGGCGTACGCCTGAGTCACAACAGTAGGTATCCACCTAGAGATGGTAGCCGCCGACGCGGCCCGACCCTTACGAGGACCCTCCGTGAGCACGAAACAGGGAGTCGGTCCCGCGGAAAGAAGCCGTAGCTTCCAAATAAACACGAAGAGCGCGAACCACATCCAAACAGTGGAGCGCACGCTCCTGCCTATGGACCGGCTCCGGACACAGGGAAGGTAAGACAATGTCCTCATTCAGATGGAATGCCGACACAACCTTCGGCAGGAACGCCGGCCGAGGCAGCCAACTCCGACACCCGCCGAACGGAAGTGATGGCCACCAGAAAGGCCACCTTCTGTGACAAAGATAGAAGCGGAACCTCCTGAAGAGGTTCAAACGCGGATTCCTGCAACACCGAAAGCACGAGATTCAGATCCCACGGAGCCAAAGGCGAGCGGACAGGGGGAGCAGAGCGTGTCACCCCCTGAACAAAGTTGCGAACCAGAGCGCTAGACGCCAAAGGCCGCTGGAAAAGCACCACCAAGGCAGAGATTTGACCCTTCACAGTACTCAAGGCCAGCCCCTGAGTCACCCCACGTGCGACGGTAAATTTTTCTAGAAACCGCTTTGCGCGCTCAGAGCATAGTGGAAAAGACCGCATCGGACAACCCCCGGTCCTTCAGGACCTGGCTCTCAAGAAGGATGGAACACAGGACCCTGGGACAGAAGATCGGGGCGCAGAGGCAGACGCCACGAGGCGTCCACCACCAGCTGAACCACGTCCGCGCACCACGCCCTCCGAGGCCAATCCGGGGCCACGAGGACGACGGAGACTCCCTCGACCGCGATCCGACGCAGCAGCCGAGGCAACAGATACAGTGGAGGAAAGGCGTAAATTAGACCGTAATGACCCCAAGGGGCCACCAGGGCATCCACGGCCTCCGCCCAGGGATCCAGGGCCCGGGCCACAAACCTGTCCACCTTGCGGTTGAACCGAGACGCCAGAAGATCCACCTCCGGCGTCCCCCAGTGACGACAGAGCTGCTGAAAGAGATCCGGGTGCAGAGACCACTCCCCCCGGATCCACCGACTGTCCACTGAGGCAATCGGCCTGCCAATTGCCCACTCCCGGGATGTAGACTGCCGAGAGAGCCAGAACTCAATGTTCTGCCCAGGACAGAATCCCGAACACCTCTCGACCCGCGGCCACGCTTTATGTACTGCCCTGGTGGTTGATGTACGCCACCGCAGTGGCGTAGTCTGACTGGACCCGGACCGCCAGACCCTGGAGCCGGGCCGACCAAAGAAGGAGAGAAAGGCGAATCGCCCGAAGTTCCAACACATTAAAATCGACAGACGGGCCTTCTCCGGCGACCAACGACCCTGCACGGTCAAGGAGCCCAAGACCCCGCCCCAGCCCCAAAGGCTGGCGTCCGTGGTGACCACCGGCCAATGCACTGGAAGAAAAGACTTCCCCCGCACCAAGACCGGAGATATAAGCCACCACCGCAGGGAGGCCCTCGTCTCCAGAGAGATCCGAATCTCCCTGTCCAAGGACAGGGGGGACTTGTCCCACTGTACCAGGATGTTCCTCTGCAGGGTCCTGGTATGGTGTTGCGCAAAGGGCACCGCCTCGAAGGAGGCCACCATGAGACCCAGGACCTGCATGCAAACTCAAAAGGGCGACCACTGGCGAGTCCTCAGTAGTCGGACCTTGGAACGGAGCTTCAGGAGCTTGTCCCGAGGAAGAAAGACCCGGGCCGCGACAGTGTCCAGAACCAAACCCAGATACTCCAGGCGTGGTGAAGGCACCAAGCAAGATTTTCGCAGGTTCAGAAGCCACCCGAACTCCTCCAAGGACCGCACCGCGACCCCCAGAGCCGTCACCATAGAAGAATGCGACTCTGCCCGTAGGAACAGGTCGTCCAGGTACCCCACGATCGAAACCCCCCAACAACGCAACAGCGCCAGAATCGGGGCTAGCACCTTGGTGCACACACATGGGGCCGACGCCAGCCCGAAGGGCAGTGCCACAACCTGAAAATGGTCCTCCCTTACCGCGGAACGAAGATACCGCCGATGAGACTCGCAAATGGGTACAAGAAGGTATGCATCCCGGATATCGACGGAGGCCAGTAGATCTCCCTGACAGAGCCATGCCACCACGGACGGAAGGACTCCATCCGGAACTGACGGCACCGTAAACAGGTTTGAATAAAACCCTTTGAATCTGTCCGCGGAGGGAACAGGCACAATCACCCCCTGGGACCAAAGGTCCGCCACCGCGCGATGGAGATCCGCCAACCGCGAAGGGGATAGTTGCGTGTTGGACGGGAAGAACCAGTTTCCCAGACGGGACAGAAACTCGATCTTGTAGCCCGAAGAAACCAGCTCCCGGACCCAAGAGTCGGAGACGTGGGCCAGCCAAAAATCCGCAAAGAGCCGAAGGTGGCCCCCCACCCCGGGGCCCGACCTTCATGCGGACTGGGGCTTGCCGGCGGGCTTGGCAGACTTGGGCTGCCACGGACGCTTGGAGGATTGGGAAGAGGAGGATTAGTTAAACTTACCGCCCTCGTCGGAGGGCGGAGGGGGCCGAAAAAGCCGCTTGTGAGCGGAGAAAGTAGGCCCAGGCTTCCGGCGCTGTTCCTTCTTGCGAGCCTGGGGAAGGAAGGTACTCTTACCCCCCGTCAGATCCTTAATGATCTCATCCAAGGTGGAACCAAACAGCCGGACCCCAGTAAAGGGAAACTCCTGAAGAGCCTTCTTGGAAGCCTGATCCGCCAACCAGCACTTAAGCCCAAGCAAACGGCGAAGCGTCACCGCTGACACCGACACCCTGGACACCAAGGGCGCCGCATCCAAGGCCGAATTACAGACATAACGAAGGCCTTGCACCAACTGGTCCGCCAATTCCACAAAAGCGGACTGGCGGAACGCCTACTCTTATGCGCCCCAAACTGCACGTGTGGCAGCGCGGAAGTGCTGGCAACGTCCCCAATTTTAAGGGTCTCCCTGAAAGCGCGGACCAGCGCTGAAAACCGTCTCACGTTCCTGGACCAGGAGCGTAGACGCAGCCTCATCCTCACTGGCCGAATCAGGATGTGAGGAATCACCCGGGTCAGGATGAGGTAATGGCGTGGGCGGTTCCCCCTCCTCTTCTGACTCCCCTGACATGGCAGGGGACGGCAAGGGCAGGGCCCACTTCCCAGGTGGGCGCTGCGTCAAGGCGCGCTCCATGCGCGTCACAAACCCATCCATGACAGAGGAAAAAGATTCCAGGGACAACGCGGTACCCGCGGTACCACCCAACCCCCCGAAAGAGCACCAGAGGGACGCACGGGCGACAGGAAAGGCAGCGCAGGCGTACAGGACGCACAAAGAGGGGATCTAGAGGGGTCCGCAGAGCGCAGCCCACAACTCTCACAAGGCAATGCAGGAGAGTCATCCCTGCGATCCAGTGCACACCCGCAGCAAAAACCACCCCACGGACCAGAGACCACCAGGCAAGGGAAAGAGGGACCCCCAGCAACTCATGACCCTAAGAAGAAAGGAAAAAAATTCTCCAGAGATAAAATTTTAGCTCCTTACTCCTGACGCTAGGCAAAAAACTGGAGACTTGTCAGCAGGTGGGGGGTTTGGCCACCGGCAGGGGCCGCCCCTAGGCTGTAATTGGTCTTTAGTTTTGTGCCTAGCGTCCTTCTCCTGCAGGTGGCGATATTACCCTACCATTCAGGATCTACGATCTGTTGCCTGTGTCCTTCAATGAACGGGAGAGAAATTTGCAGACGAATGGAGCTACCAGGCAGGCGGCCGCTGTCAGAATACAATGCAAAGAGCAGGGATTCCCTTGATGAACGCTCGTAAGCGTCCAAAAAAGGAACCATGTATACCCCAGTTAATGCTTCTCCTTGCACTTTCCAAGTCACTTGTTTATATGTTAAAGGTAAGGAATTTAAAATTAAATTTTTTTAAATCAGCTAAATATGACATTTTCCATAGAAATATTTGGTATTTGCAGCCAGCAAGTGGAGATTGGCTTTATTTTTTACATGTTTTTAGGGCTTTTCTTATTTAGTTAGTTAACTAAAACCCACTGTTTACAGAGTTCCATAGCTCATGCTGCAATTTACACACACCTGCATAAGCTGGAAGAGTGACTCCTCCCCCTTCCACCTGCTTGCCTGTCAAGATGTTTCAGAGATAGTGTAAAGGCAAACAGCTCCTGCTGTGCTCTGTCTTTAGAAAACCCACAGTGCTCTGTGAATCCTGTGTCATGGGTGCACTCTGTGCTACATGTTTATTTGTAAAATAAAGATTCTATATGAATAGTAAAGGAAAACACAGATATTATTATATTATTTTATGTCTGTGTAAAAATTATAGTTTCCTTTAATGTAATTTTTAAAAATTAGATTTTTTTTTAGAAATAATCTTTATTTAATTAGCAGGTATAGCTAATAACTGCACAAATACTGTAGGTTAGGACCCATGTTAGGTTAGTATTACTTTATAACATCACGCAGGGGATATTCCACCTCTCTGACTGTCCTGGTGTCACCAGAACAGGAAGTGGGTAAAACACAAGAATATCACAAACTCTCTAACCTTTTCTCATTCTATGCATAACAAAAAAGTCTGGAATCAGGTTTGATTGGTAAACGCTTATTGGATTTTGCTGCATGTAGTAATATACAGGAAGTTCCCAAATTACCTGCAGATCGAGTGACGCCATGCTTTTGCTGCAGTATTGGCACGTCTCGTCTCTTAGTTCGCACTGTGTCAATAAATGGTTTTCCAGGTCTTTTCTGCAGACTTTGTCATGACATCCCTTGTTGTTGCAGAGAACCATTTCATAGGAGCACTGAGCGAGATGATCCTGCAGGAGAATGGCGGGGTGAATTCAGTTACTGAGATTTCAGTAGTTAAAGTGCAACTGAAGCCAAAACTTTTTGTTGTTATTTTTATAGAGTAGAGAGGAATTATAACAACTGTCAGGTTTTTATTGTTGTATTTGTCCCCATTAGGGAGATTCACTCTATTTGCCCAGTGACTGTTATCACTGAAAGTGAAACAAAATGATTAGATTGTAAGCTCTCACGAGCAGTGGCGTCACAAGGGGGGTGCGGCCCGCCCCCGGGTGCCACCATTGTCAGTCATTTTGGTGTAACCCCCAATGAAAAGTTGGCACTCGGTCATGGACCGAGGGCCCGACAGTGTCAGGAGAGAGGAGGGGACCCGGTGGCATACCTTATCCCGCCGGGTGAACGTCCCCTCCTCTCTCTGCCGGCGTCCATCACCAAGAGGAGGCGTCATTAAGATGGCCGCGCATGTGCGATGACGTCATCACGCACACACGCAATGACGTCACGGCGGTGTGTCACCCGGTCTCCGCTCCGGGTGACACCCGGCCTCGGGTCGCCCCTGCTCATGAGCAGGGCATGCTGAACCATTTTGTCTTAATTTGAATTGTAACTGTACTGTCTCCCCTTATTTTGTAAAGTGCTGCTCAAACTGTTGGTGCTATATAATCCTAAATAATCATAATAAAAAATCATCATCATCATCATCACTTCAAGGGAAAGTGAAACAAAATCCCAAATTTTGAGTTGTCACCAGAACAGGAATAGATGGGAAATCTTCCAATGGAGACAACAGTTCTGGTGACCCTGCTGACCACCAGGGATTTCCGTCTCTACCACGTCCTGTTGTGGCTATTGGACAGGAAGTAAAGGGAAATCTCCCCAATAGGACACCGATAGCAACAAATGCTGACAGGGGTTATAACCCTCCAAAAGTTTTGGCTTCAGTTAAACATTAAAACTCTAAAGCTGGACATACACTATGCAGTCTGATTGTCCAATCTCTGTACAGTCTCCTTTAGATTTACCTAAACTATAACATGAGAACAGGCCTAAAGAATCCATTCAAATAGTATCAAATCAGGCCGGCCTTTGTACTACATAGTTGATGGTAGATCTAAAGGAGATTGTACAATGACCAGTTCAAGGTTTAACCCTTTCGCTGCCAAGCCCTCCAGAACATTTTTCAAATCAGCTGGCCAAGCCATTTTTGAATTTTCTGCAATTTTTTCCTATTGATTTGATTTTCAACTGCTGCGTTGCTAGCGTTTGTAAAAGACCCCCCAAACCATATATTTTCTGAAAGCGCAGGCCCGGTAGAATAAAAAGATGGTGATACTAAATTTGTAGGCCCTGCGATAATTGAGCAAATGTTTCTCAAATTAATATTAAACCATAAAAAAATACACAATTCAATTGTTAAAACACACCAAAATCAGTATCCGTGCACAAAAAAAAATATTTTTTGACTAAATCTAAAAGATAAAACTGTATTGAGTTAATAAATAACAAATATTAGCAAATTTGTAATTGCGCCTTTTTGCGAAAAGGTAAAAAAATGAAGGTATGCAAAACTGTAAATA